TAATAATAAGACGATTACGAGTTAAACGAGCTAATTCCATAACAAGAGAAGATTTTCGAGAACAAATATCACCTTGAAGAAGAATAGTTCGTTTCGATTGACATGCTGCTGCAAGTAATTCAAGTTGACGAACAGTTTTCTTTGTATGAATAAGACCAATATTAGATGATGATATATCTTCACTACCTGTATTTATATAAATTGAACCAATACGAATAACACTAGCAATAGCCATATCAATTGAACAATCATTTTCACGTTTACTTAATGTTTCATTAATTGGAAATTTAGTATTTATCATTTCAGATGCTTTAGTAAAATCAATTTGATCTTGAAATTGACATGCATAAGCAACTTGAGCAAATTTTCGAATCGACAAGAAACTTGCATCCGATGTATTCATTGTTTGATTTAATTCATTTGATTTTTTTATATCATCAGATTTTGTTGTTTGTATTATATCTTTATCTTCATCATCAGTTGTATTTATATATTGATAATGAAATAATTGACTTTTAATTGAACCACGAAATATATCACGAAATTTTGTTAAATCACGTAAATTAAGTTCATATGGTCCACCTGTACGTCCAAGTGTTCCTTCACGAACAAGTAATTTAAGTGATGTATGCATATCAAATAATAATTCAATTTGTGACATTGTAATTGTTTTATCTTCATTTAATTCTTGATTAAATATTTTATTAAGAATAATACGTAATTCTTCTTCAGAATAATCATCAAGTTGAACAATAGTAAATAGATTACTTATTGAACGAGGTAATTTACTACGACCACCACCTATTGTTGATGGATTCATTGTAGCAAATAGAAGAATATTTTTCAATGGAACTTTTTCACCTGTATTTGGTACAAGAAATTCAGTTACACCTCGATAAAATAGAGGTGTAAGACCTTCAAGAACTTCAGGAGCAGCTAAATTAAGTTCATCGAAAAGAATCCATTTTTGTGTTTTAATTGCTGATAAGACACGACCTTCTTGCCATTGAAATGTTCGAATTCCATTAATAAATCGAGGAATAATACAACCGATTAATTGATCAAGTGATGTATTTGATGATAAATTTATTCGTTCACATTCTTTATTTAATAGTTGACAAACTTGTGTAACAACTTGTGTCTTACCAATACCGGGTGGACCTTCAAGAAGAAGAGGTGTTTTAGATGATGAAGCAGCAAATATTCGTGCAATTTGATTAAGTAATGTTGGAGTAGGTACACATGTAAATTTCTTTTTAAGTTGTTCAATATCAAATTTTTTATCATTTGATTCAAATTTATATCGTACACCAGTATAATTTAAACTGATATAATCATAACCGATTTCAAATGGTAATTTTGTTGATATTTGATTTGATGTTATCAAATCAAGTGTCAATGCTCCATGTGTATGATCAGGTACTTTAAAAATATGTTCATAATTTTTATATATTGTTGTAGATGACAAAGTTTTATACCAATCTTCGAAAAGAGAAGCATGTCTTGGGATAGGTAATTGATCAAAATAGAAGAAACGAACACCAAGTAACATACGATGAGTAAGTTCAAGTTCTTGATGATGATTTTTAATAAAATCTATCCAACGAAATAGAAGTTGAATATCATTTTTAAGTTTCCATTCTGTATCATAAATTAATTTATTACGTAATAAAAACATTATATTAATAAATGAATCAAGTTCTTTCTTATCTATATTAATTTTATTTAATTCAGCTTTAACAAGTATTTTAAGATCATCATCTGAATAGGATGATATATGAATTTCTGTAAAACGTGATCGAGTAGCTGGACTTAATTTAAGTAATTGATGACTTTGTTCTTGATGAACACTAGCAAATATTTGAAAATAATTTGGAAGATTAATATCTAATTGACCTTTATCAACTTGACTAGTAATATCTTCAGTTAATGCAAATGTTGGACTTGGTTCAAGCATTGAATTAAGTCGTTCAATAACAGCTTGACTTGGTAGATCAAGATCTTCAAGAAATAGAATAGCACCTTGTTTTGCTGCTGTTGTTACTGGTCCATCATTGAAAAGAAAAATTGGTTTACTACGATCATATTGTGGAGATTTAAGACAATCCCAAGCTTTAAGAAATTTATCATAATAGTCACGTAATGTTGCATCTTTTGACATGAATGATGCATAAGTTGTCTGTCCAAACATTGATTTAAAATTATCAATAATATCTGACATAATTTGTAATAATTCCTCGGGAAAATCTATTTTAGTACTTGGAGTTGTAGGAAGTGATGATTGAGATGAAGATGAATTACTTTTAATAGATACACTTGATGTAATTACACCTGGAAAACCATCATTAAGAAGAGCATTATCTTGTTCATCGATTGTATTTATTAATGATTCTTTTGTTTCTTTTGATGGAGTTACATATTGAAGTAAATCAAATCCATCATTGAGTTGATTAATAGGTTGCGATTGAACAATTGTTGTGGATGGTGAGACTGATGTATCAAAACCATCATCGATTGTGTTTATTGTAGTTTGATTTTTAGATATTGTTACTGAACTTTGATCAATATTAGAAGTGAAACCACCAAAACCATCATCTATTATGTTTGTTGTAATTCTATTTGTAGATACTGATACTGAACTTTCATCAATATTAGAAGTAAAACCACCGAAACCATCATCTAGGGTTTGTACTGTAACTTTATTTATAGCTTTTGGTGTTGAACTCTGATCACTAAAGTTGCTAAAACCACCAAAACCATCATTTAAATCAGTGGAAATACTAAATCCACTAAAACCATCGTTTAAACCAGTAGAAATACTAAAGCCACCAAAACCATCATTTAAACCAGCAGAACTATTAGTTCCATCATTTATTCTATCATACGATAAGTTTGCATTTGTTCTACCCATATCTAACAATACCATGTCTATATCATCATCATCATCATAAAATTTCTGTTTAAAACTTGGTGTAGACGAACTTCTTTCTGATGATGATCTTAATAATGATGATCCAGTATTAATGAAAGTATTTTGAATGGGTTCTTCAGGTTGTAATGCCTGTCGTTCTTTAGCTTTTGCAATAATTTCATCGTAATCATCGACAACTTCATCTTTCTGTTGACGACGTTCTTCGCTAAGTGAATAAATTTTTTCAAAAGCAGCGATAGCTTTTGGAAGATCTATTCTAATTGCATCAGTAAGTGTTTGTAAAGAAACATCATCTTGCTGTGCCAATATCAATGTTTTCTTTTCATGTCGATAAAGACTTCGAAAACGAATATAAACACGTTCAGCCATAGCCGGTAAACGTTTGAGTAAATCAAGAAATGAATATGGTTGAAGTTCTCCAATTAAATTACCTGCTTCTGTATCGGGTGTTAAATGAACTTTGATGAGTTCATCAGAACGGCCAGATAATCGAGTCCAAGTCTCGACGAGTAACGTTTTACATGATGTTGGTCCGACAAGTAAAACAGGTTCTTTCGCATGTACAGCAAGAGCAAGACGAACAAGTGAACGATGAAATGATTCAGGTGATGTTAATACGACACTGTCGTTTAGTTTCATATTCGGTACATCAACATAGAGATCAGCTTCTCGAAAACGAACACTAGTACCAACGGATCGTATTTCAATTGCTGGATTTTTCAATAAGGTTATATTTGACCATACTGCTCTTAAATCTTGTATTAATGATTCGTTCATTGAACTTTCAGATGGATATTTAACAGCTAAAAGTGATGCACCAACAACAGGCCAAAGTTCTTTTTCAGGTGAAAATATAGCATGTCGATGAAGCCATTTGACAAGTTCACGAAATGTAATTCGTGATTGTTTTTTAATAACTTTATGATAGAAATTCGATAATTTTTCAGTTGAATCTTCTTTCAAACATTTTGGTTTTTCTTTGCCTGGTTCATTACGTTCATAGATAATTTTTGGTAATTCATTTGCTGGAAAATCATCAAATTGAACTTCAAGAAAACGATTCCGTAATGAAACAGGTAATTGATGACGATTTGCATAGGATGCATCATTTTGTGTAGCAAAAAAATGAAAACCAGGTCTTGCTTTTATGATTTTTCCACTTGATGGTATAGCAATAGAATTTTTACCTTCTAATAATGGAAAAAGAGTATTCATAACAGATGGATCAGCTAAATTGAATTCATCAGCAAGAAACCACCAACCATTTTTCATAGCTCGATAGAGTGCACCTTCTTGAAATACAAAATCTTTATTAACTGGTAGAAATGTACCGAAATAATCTTGTATAGTTGTTGTATCTGTATTATTAACACGTGCAAGTTTTACTGAAGATGAATGTGTTATTGTGTTATTATCTGATGATTTCATATGTTTCCATAAATGTGAAATAAGTGCAGTTTTACCAACTGCTGCTGGACCTTCAAGTAAAAGTGGAATTTTACAAGCTACAGCACCTAAAACTGCATTAGCATAATTAATTCGACTATCAGTCAAAATATGTTCTTTATTTGGATTGATTTGATTAATAAAATTAGGTTGTTTTAATTCAATAGATTGTTTATTATTAAGTAATAATTTTTGAATATGTTTAGTAATTTTATTTTTAAGATCATTATTTTTAATTTGATTTGCAATTGTAACATGATAAGCTGTCCAAAGACTAGAAATAAAATTGAGTTCAGATTTAAATTTTAATCGTAAAAGATATGCACTATCAAGTAATCGAATAATATTTCGTAAAGTAAATTTTGGAAAACTTTTATGTTCATTTTCATAGAATTCAAGAATTGTACGACATAATTTTACAGCTAATTCATAATCAGTATCAGATTCATCGGATAGAAGAGCTTTAGCAATTTCAAGTATTTCCGATGAATTATCAGTCATACTAAATGATATATCCATCATATGAACAATACCGAAACGATTGTAAAGTGCTGGTGAAAGTTCACTTGATGCACCACTTATATTACTATGTGATTGTTGACGACTATCAGGTGGTGTCATTGTAGCAATCATTTGATAATCTGGATGCATTTTTTGTTCATTTATTTCACCTTTTTCTGTTAAACATAACATTGGATTTTGTTCAAGTACAGGATTGAGTCGTTCAAGTACAGATGATTCAGCTACACTTAAATTATCTAAAAGTACCCATTGACCAGTTGTATATGCAGTTGTTACAGCACCATTTTGCCAAATTAATTTTTTATCTTTATTTTGTTCATTTTTATCAGTATTATCATTAGGAATAAGTTGACCAATCAAAGCTGATGGTTCAGTTTCTGGTGTAATATTTAATTGTTGTACTTGTTGACCACAGAACCATGCTAGAGTTAATAGAAGTTCAGATTTTCCACAACCTTCAGGACCAGTAACAAGAATTGGTTGTTTAATAGTTTGATTAAAACATATTTGTTTAAGTGTTTTCAATGCTCGATCCGTAAGAACATATGGTATTTCTGGTTGTACTAAAGATTCTTTGAAATTGATTTTATTAAAATCAATATTTTTAAATATATTTGTAAAACATGAACGAATTTTTCTTTGTGCTTGAATATGACGAACATGATTTTCATATAATTGACAACCATGTTTAGCAAAATCATCTTGTTTTTCTAGTCGATTAAATTGTACAGCTGATATAATCCATTCTTCTAACCAAGAACGATCAATACGATAGACACCATGTTTATTAATAAATTCTTTATCAAGCATTATTTTATGAATTGTTTGATGAGTTTGAATAGCTAAATTCCATAGATTTTTATCATATTTGATATTTTTCAATTCAGCAGAATCTATGATACGATTCCATTCATTTTCAGAATTGTCAATAGATGAATCGAGACGTATTGAACATTGTACATTATCGAAAAAAAATTTATTTTGTTGATGATCGACAGTAAATTTAATATTATTTAATGCTGGACTACCCCAACCACCTTTACCATCATCTGTTAAAATTTTTTCTACAAGAGTTCGACCAATATGACGATATCGAGCACCATATACACACCAAGCACTAAAATTAAGTAAAGCTGTTCGTTGAATTCCATCTGAAGACCATAAATTATGTTGTGCTTGCCAAGTAATTAAATCAATCCATTTAAGAAGTTCACGAATGGAAACTTCAGCATATGGTCCTGTTTCAATTAATGTTTGCTCGTTATTATTTAACATTTTCTTAATTTTAGCATTAAAATTTGAAACCATTAATTCAGCTAAACTTTCTGCTTCATCAAATAAATAAGGTAACAATTTTTTATGAGCTATTTCACGCCATTCAATATCAGGTAATTCTTTAAAGATAAGCGGTCGAAATCGACTTAAAAATGATGGTGATAATTTTTCACGTTTATTTTTAAAAAAACCTGTATTTGGATTTTGTGTTGCAAATAATCGAAAATTTTCATGCATATGATAAACAATAACAGATTGTTGTGCTGAACTTCCATCACGTATAGCTAATTGTCGTCTATCAAGAGCTGATTCAATAGCTTGAAGTACAGTATCTTGTGCTAGATTAAGTTCATCAAAAAGTATCCAATGACCTTCGATAAATGCCATTGTAAATGGTCCATTTTCGAATTTAAATTGTACTGATTGACCTTGTTCACCTGGTACAATTGTTACTTTACCAAGTAAATCATCAACAGATACACGTGATGACATATTATAACGTTTAAGTTCACGACTAGATAGTTTAGCTGCTTCCATAACAGTTGCACTTTTACCTACACCGGTATTACCTTCGAGTAAAATTGAAACAGGATCATCAAGTACTTCAAGAACTTTAGTTACATTTTCTCGTGCTGTTGCTGTTAAAACTAAACGATCTTTTTTATTTTGATGATCGATAATAGGAGGTGATTGATTAACATGACGATCTGATAAATATGATCGTAATATATGATCAATTTCATGTGATTCAGCTTTATTTAATTTATTTAATAATTCATGTCCATTATTAAAATCATCATGTCCTATTCGAACAATATCCGATGTATGAGTAAGTTCTGTTGAAAAAAATGATGTTTGCTGTCGTTGATCACTAACTTTAACATCATATGATTGATCATCATCGGATTGATTTTCAATAAGTTCATCAAGTATAGAACGTTCATTAGGTGATAATTCTAAAATTTCGGCAAGTAAAATAATAGCAGCTCGTTTTAATTCACCTATACGACCTAATATAGGTATAATATCTAATGTAAATGGTGAGAGTAATTCAACAAGTCTTGAACGTGATCGTTCTTTAATAATTTCATTACTAAGACTAAGTAAATGAAATTTACATACATCCATCGATTCATTATCTGTAGATTCTTCAATTTGACGAAAAAGAGCCTTGAATAATGATTCATATTGAATTGTTGTTGAAGAATCATTATCAACCAATGAAGCAAGAAATAAGACAATATGAGATAATTGACTTGGCTTTTCGAAATTAATTGATAGAAATTTAGTTAAATATTGATGAAGAAAAAAATTTGCAATATCTATATTATATTTATTATATTTTGAATAGCCAATATCAAGAAGTAATTCAATAAGACGAATAATTATTGATGGAATATCAATAATTATTAACCATGTTTGAATAATCAAATGAAGTCTAGATTCAAATAGAGATTTTTCTGTTTGTGATTGTTTCGCTAATGCTTCAATAATTGTTAATAGAGTTGGAATGAATTGTTTAGCAATATCTAATTCACTACATTGAAGTAATTCATTTATTTGTTGATGAGTTGCCTGTTGAACATATGTAACTAATGTTGTTATTGGACAAAGTGAATGTTTGAGAAGTTCAAAACAAATCATATTTAATGGATATTTAATAATGTAACTCATAATTGGACGTAATAAATCAATTTCAGTAAACGCACTTATATGATCCAATATTGATATTAAAATTGAACAATGATCATATGTATCATTTTGATTATTTTCAATAACATAATTAATATAATATAAAATAACATCTTTATCAATTTTTTTAATTGCTTTTATTAAACGTGCTTCACAATATTTTGGTAGTAATTCTTTAAGTAGAATATAAAAACACATATGACCACGTACATTAGAAACTGGTGTATTTGCACAAATATGTTCTGTTAATTGTTCAATAAGAATATTTGATTCATCTGTTTTACACTCAATAATTCTTTTTATAAATTGAACAATATGATGTAAAACAAATTTATGTAAATTATCATCATCTATAGTTGGCCAAATACTGAATAGATTAATAATAAATTGTTGTAATTCTTTTTCATAACCACTCATATCAAGAACTTGTAAACGATCGAATATAATTTCACACATTTCAATATCGAAAAATTTTGATTTTAATTCCAATAAATAACGAAAAAGTTCAAGCCATATGGGAAATATATAAATAGCTTTTATACTTGTTAAACTCATAGGTTTTAATAAATTCTTAAGTTCTTCAGAATCTTGACAAGCATCAAGTGCTTTGTGAACAAGATCATTAACACGTAGACGTGGTAGAGCACATCCATCATTGCATTCATCTTCACGACCATCAGTCCATTTTACAATAAGCTTTTGTTTTGATCGATATGCTAATTGATTAACAGCATCAGAACGAACTGTAGGATCTGTACTTTGAACACTTTCGATTATTAATGGATCGAAATAGATTCGCCAAATTGCTTCGAAAAATGTTGGTTGAACAAGAAACTTGCACATATCGACAGCATTATTCTCATTGTAATTGATACATTCCGTAAGTAATTGAATTAATCCATTCATTTCTTTGCCGGTACAATGAGGACAACGAAATAGACGAATTAGATGAACAAGAGTAAGTGGTTTGTTTTGATCGTCTTGTCGACTAATAAAAGAATATAAAATAGGATTAATAATTTTTCATGTCAAACAATAAAATCAAATCAACATATTATCAAACATATTTATTACTGGCGTTCTTATTTTTTTTTTCTTACAGAGAAATACAACTATTGCAGTTTTCTGCCAGTATTATTCATGGAGTCGAAAAAAAACGTTTCAAAACACAAAATTTTATTTTCTACTCGAATATCTATTAATATAAAAAGTAAATAGTAGAAAGAATACTCTAAAATAGTTCAAACTATTGCTAAGTAAATTGTTGAAAGGAACATATAATCTTGATTGTAATCGACTATGAATAATGATTTTAAATAAAATCAAAAGTATTTCAAAGACTGTATATTAAATCGAATAAGAAAAAAGTTAGTTATGTCTATATTTCACCCGAAGTTGAAACATCTGTTTCTTTTTTATATCATTATTTTATAGTTTTCAAATAAAAATTTTCCAAATTAAAATGTTGAATATAGATTCTAAATGTAATACTAAACGGATGGAAAAAGACTTTAATCTTTGAAATTAAACGACAAATAGTGAAATCTTTCGAAATATAGGGGGTGTGGGTGTGGGTCTCATCATTTGTCAATTTAGATATCTATGTAACCAAAGGAAAAAATATACTTATGCTTATATGAAAACTAATCATTCCATGAAAAATAAACTTATTAGAAAACAAGAGAGAGATGAGTCTTCCAAAGACGACTTGTCTTTTGATAAAATTTTTGTTTGCTATGCTTTGAACAAATGGATAATGCAATAAAACTCGCAGAAGATTGTCGTATTTTCCAATATTTTCTATCTTATCAATATATAATAATATCATGTTTTTTAAAAGAAAAGTTAGTTTTCACAAGAAAAAGACACCCAGATTAACAAATATGTTAACCGACAAAATTAACTTTAGTTGTGCTAGATTTGTCAAAAAGAAAAAGATGTGCTATCTTTAAATTTTTGAAATCGTGATGTTCAATCTTCAATAACTTACTCAACTTGAAGTTGACCATTGGGCAACATAGTTAAAACAGTAATTCGTCGTTCTCGAACATGTTCAAGTAAACCTCGTGCTGGAGCTTCACTAGGCTTTGCTCTTAGCCACCAAGCCATAAGGTTAGCCATCTTGATAGCTGTCACCTAAAAATTTAAAAATCATATGATAATAACAAAAAATTTTAAGTTTTCAATACATCATTGGAACTATTCTATTTCGAGTAAATTAAAACGACAGAAATTAACTAATTTAAAAAGAAGTAAAACCACAATGAATCTATTCTTTGATACATTTTGAAATCACACTAAATGTGATGATAATTTATTATATATGGTGATAACAGATTTCTAAAACATGGTAATGCTTGTAATCAAATCTTTCGAAAAGATACAACAAAAGAAAGAATATTAAATCTATCGGATTTTGCAGAGCTTAGTAATGAATCTTAAATCAAGATATCATATACATGGTTTCATACAGCAATTTATGGTCCATCTTAGAGTATTTATGAAATTAACTGTTCCTCACATTTGGATATGCTGTAAGTCTGTGTATTGATTAGAATTCTTGAGAAATATATATATATAGAAACCATAGATATTGTAATTCCCTAGGATGTTCTAAAATATACCTAGATGAGCGAGATAAAAATTCGAGAAATTAAATACTAAAAATAATAGATCTTCTTTCTATTAATCTATTTCTGTATTCTCTCTAAGTTTCTAGAGGTCAATAAAATTTTCCTTTTATAAAAGAATTATTTACATAGATTCATCAAGACTGTTTTTCTGATTATTTGTGAGAAATTTTTTTTTATTAGAACTATTAAATATTGTTGAAATATCATCAGACAAGGTTATTCTAGCATAAAATCTTGCTATTTGTAAGTGGTTCTATTTTGTTTTGAAAGATCTTCTCTGTGAAACATATTCAACTCGATAATTTACAATTTTACAATTGATTCTCACATCTTCTGCGACATACGATTGAAAGTATTAAACTTTCATATGATCAATAAATGATCTACACCTATAGCGAATGATCATTCTTAGGATGAAGAAAGCTTTGCAGCGCAGTCCTTTCGGAATTCACATATTTTCTATGACCTATAATATCTAAAGACATTAAAAACTCGTTGCTAAGTTCTATAATAGGGTCCTGCGTTGATAAGATATCTATAATGGGAAGGAGGCAACCGCCAAAACTCGGTCTTAAAATCGTACACACACTATTTTCGAAGAAAATATATGTGAGTTAGACAAAAATCAAAAATGAATATGATAAGTTTTTAGAAAACTGAATAATACCTATAACTGTATTATAATGAGGTTTAAAAGCAAATACACGTAAGTTTATCCCAGGATATCTCGAACACTACAGTATTTATGATTTCCATCTATATTCCTCAAGAATTATAACCCGTATATAGACACACAACACATCAGAGTTTGAGGAGTATTTACTTATTTATATAGCATGCGATAAGACAAAAATGATTGTGCTAAACTATATATATATAATATTCTGACTAAAGATAGGTCATAAAATCCGGTGGAATCCTTTAGAACACTGTTCTTGTTTTTCTTTTTTACAATTCTGTACAGATTCAAAATTCAGTGTTTATGTGGATCGAATTGTTGTTGACTGTTTAATAGTCTTCTTCGATAGAATAAGAATGCTATTGTTACAATTAAGACTAAACAAAGTATTAGTATGGCAGTATAACACAATTTTCGAATATGATCGTCCCTTGACATTGATTTATGAAGTTCATGTATTTTTATTTTATGAAAATTTAACCATCATATTTCTTACGAGAAATGAAACATGATCATCTTATATCTATTTCAATATAAGAAAAGAAAGAAATGAAATAGAAACAAGAGTCTATTATAATCATTGTTTATCCAATCAATACTATTGAAAATCAATGTAAAATCAAGATGAAGATTTATTGCCACAATCTGACATTTACTACATTTTCATTATTATTATTTTTTCTAAAATAATCTAACCGATTTCTATAGATCGTTTTGCATATCTTTGCTATTCAATAACGAAAGAAAAAACAGTATCCATAATCTGTAGTATCCTCGTAGAAAATGAATATCTTTAAAAACATCAATCCAAATGAATTATTGTTTCTTATTTGCTGAGTCGCATAGTAGGCTTACCATTTCATTTAGATATTTTTGACGTTTCCCGCAAAAACATCAAAATTCATGAATGAAAAATGATATTATTGATACTTCTGATTAGAAGTAAATACAAGAAAATATCTCTTGTCCCATCGCAACACCTTATTTCATTCCGACGAATGGTAAAATTAGACATAAACCATAGTTTTTTGTCCTGCGTCAAATTTTGATACGGATTCGTTTTTAGAAATCTCAATCTCCTTGTTGATTACAGGGTTACCTGAAAAAATAAACATAGACTAAACGTTAAGAAGATTTTAGACTATTGCATATTTTCTAAACTGATGCATACATTTGTAAGATTGTCCTTTGAAAGGTAGCTAAAATCGATGTACATAGAAATCGACAATGATATTACAAGATTACTTCTTTCTTTAAAATTTTCATTAAATACTAGATTCACCTGATCAACAACACAATGTGAAACCTTTTCGATCACTTTAGACGAAATAAATGATAGTAAACATTGAGAAAACAAATGAAATTAATAGATTTTTCATCATATGTTGTATCTCATTTTCCGATAATTTCTTCTAGATTAATTTTCTATTGCTAAAAACATTAAAAAAATATTGTAAGAAGTGATTTGTATTAAATATTCTTGACCACAAACCATTAGGAACTGATACTAAATTGAAAAATATCTATTCCTTGAAAAATAAGATCAATTTTAGTCAGTTTCATAACGGACATCTATGTCAAACTTGGAAGTTGAATTCAATGTTCACGTTTCACGCTTCAAGTTTCAACTTTCAACTTTCAAGTTACAAATCCACAAGTTCTCAAACCAAGAAGATACACACCGACTCTTTCACAACTCATCGCTGTAGGTGTGGATATCGTGGAGGAGCTTTCTGAAGGAAGAAGTTAGCTACGCCTTTCAGGACACTTCATCGAAGCAGGTGAGGGTTCGGCAAAGGCCCATCCAGGAATAATGGACTAAGCTGCGCTTTCTGACATGTTTCATGGAATCTCTTGAAGTTTGAAAACTCAATTGAATTAAAGTACCAAGTTTGACACTAGTGATTAAGCGGGCCACTTGTTAAGGAATGAAATGGAGCTCCGGTCGACATGTAGCTTCTTATTTTCTTAATGGTCAACTGACATGATAAGAGTCTATCACTGTTTAGACTATGCGCTTAACCGTAGTTCTGGCTGTATATGGTTGACTTAAAATTCGTTATTGTCTATTCCCTGTAATATAGCACTATGTAGAATTCTATATGAAATGTTTTTCGTAAACTGTCAACGTTTTTTTTTATTTGACTAGCATATCAAAGAAAAGCTCATTCTTTTCGTTTATCAAATGGCATAAATGAGCATGATAAAGTATCCATCCTTCGCTTGTTTTTTGAGATCGGATTGCAGTCTTACGTACTATTAGATGAGTACGCAAGATAAAATCCTATTTTGCGGTTCTGTGAAAATGTAGGTCAATTTCCACTCGAACAAGATGTGATAGCTCTTTTAAAGTTCTATAAAAGGATAATATTACATTGAACTTTATTTGCGTGTAAGACGGTGGACTCAAATGTCTAATGTTCCTATGTGCTAAAAATTGCGTTTTCTGACACTTTTTTATCTATTATTATTTGAATTGTTTGGCTTTCAATTTAAAAAATAATACCTTTGAACTTAAAATTAAAAACTAAGTCAATCTATGTGGATCAAAAATTGTTTTATTGATTTGTATTTTTTTCCGAAAAATGCCGTCCAAGTCCAACTCAGAGATATTAAGAAAAGTGAACTCATTGAAAATCTCGTTCTCAGGATTTATCCCCCTGTCATTTTAAGTTTCTGTAATAGTTAAACAATGTTCGACTCTGTTTTTATACTTAAAGTCATACTTTTGCTGTATTTATTTATTTTTTTTGTATTTTCCTAAGGGGAAACAAGGGGCGGTAGTTTTCCAAAAAAAATAAAAGTGGATGTAACAATTTCTAATACATATAGATCGACTCAGTTTTTAATGTTGAGTTCACATAAATGTTTTTTGACTTGAGAATCGAACAATTCAAGGAACAATGGATGAAAAATGAGCCAAAAAATGCAAATTTTAGTACTCTGGAACATTGTGAATTTGAGTTACTTGTCTTGCCCATAAATTAAGTTCAACGTAATAGTATCATTGTGCAGAGCTCTAAAAGAGCTGTCGAATCGTATCTGTTTAAAATCAGACCTGTGTTCTCGCATTAACATAGAATCGAGTTTTGCTATGAGTACTCTTCGAATTGTATATATGAATGTGCAGTGGAATTTCAAAGAACCAATGAAGGAACGATATTTTGGCATACTCATTCATATCATTGGATAGGAGAAAGAATGAACTTTCATTTGATGTAGAAGTTAAAATAAAAAGATGCTGAAAGCTTCAGAAGAATATTTCATATGAATACTGTATAGTGCCACATGATAGAACATGGACAATAACATATTCTAAGACAGTCGTATGCAGCCAGAATTAGGAGTAACTGTCTAATTCGAACAATAATGAACTCGTAAGATTTCCATTGACTATATGGAAAATAAGAAACTTGATTTCGACATGGGGTCGATTTCATCGCTTAACGATCGCTTTGCTTTTCTAAAATTATTTCCTTTTACTTGTTTTTCTTTATGTACATAGAACAAATAAATGAGACGATTTTTCAGATCTCATTTAACACAAAAGTTTCGGTTTTACTTCAAAACTTCAGATCAACTCTTTTATACCTGTGAACTGAGATTGAGTATGCCCGTTCCAAATGGATAGAATACAAAGCGAAGAATATCTCCAGCTTGTTCCATGGTTAACCGACGCACATTGTCTATAAGTCGATCCATAAGTACTTGAGCCAAATTTGTATCGCCATCTTTTTCATTCAATAATCGTGCTAATTCAACTTTCAATTTTTTGGACGTATCTTCGACGGAAAATGTTGGCTTTGACGCTGGTTGCGCCATGTTTTTTCGTTTTTCTAAACTCCACTACAATACCTAGGTTTAAAATGAGTAAATCTAAAACAAACAAAAGGAAACATACAGATTGAATATGAGCTGTCTATTTCGAGTTATAATATAAATGAAGCGTCAACTGTCTAATATCACCGCGAAAATAAATGAAAAAAATCAAGCCGGTACTTGCTTATAGCAGAAAAATTTTTTTTATAAATTATAATTTATAATTGAGACAGGACTTTCCTACAAGTGCGGCAGAAAAGCAGAAAAGCAGAAAAAAATTTTATAAATTATAATTTATTATTTCGATAAGAATTTTAATTTAATAATTAATATGTGCAGCCTCGCAATGAAGTCTTGAACAAATCATATATCACGTTGAATATGGATTGGTAGACGCGCCTTTACCAGGTCACTGATCTGTAATATCGGGCCCATAGCGCGAGGATGCTATGTGCTTGCCGAAGGGCTAGGAGTGGTGCTCATTTCTATGACCGCAATAATGCCGATATTTCTCTGGTTTTTATTGAGCTAAAAGGAAAGGTTATGGAATTGAATATGTAGATTGTTGTTGTTCAGTAAGTGAATATGTATAAATGAACATGTGATAATTTTCAAACAATTAAAGGAACGGTCATCACTAGCAGTTATTTTTAAAAGAATTAGTGTCAATGAACACCTAAGTGTTATCTGTTTCGATGTGTGCAGCTGAAAAGCACAAGTATTCTGGAATAAGACTCTCGAAGTCTCAGCAGTGTCACATATGTAGGAAATCGGAGAAGCTGGAGAAGTACAGGGAGATGCGGCATCTTCAGATGTAATCTGCTTTTTTCTATTCTTAGGCTTTAAGTCATGCCGGAGATGCTGGGAGATGTCGATACGGGAGATGCGGCACCTCCCTGTGGGGAAGTGAAGGAGATGCGGCGTCTCTCTAGAAAATGCCGCATCTCCACAGGGAGATGCATCCTCAGCAGGGGTCCCAGCAAGGGGAAAAGAGCAGATTTCAAGATTTCAAAAGATTCTGAAAGATTCCTAAAGATTTCCAAAGATTCCCAGAGATTTGCAAAGATTCGCAAAGATTTCAAAAGACTCCAATTGAAGAAAATCTGCATGCTTAAATGAATCTCTACTTGAGATACTGTAGGGGAGTACCTTGGGTCCTCAAGTCCTTACTAGGAGGTACCCTTGGGCCCTCAAGGCGCATACTAGGAGGTACCTTTGGGTCCTGAAGTCCTATACTAAGGGGTACCCTTGGGTTCTCAAGTTCTGTTATAAGGGGTATCCTTGGGACCTGAAGTTCTACACTAAGAGAGTATCCGTGGGTCCTCAAGTCCCATATTAGGGTGCACCCTTAGATCGCGAAGTCCTACTATAGGGAGGTACGCTTGGGTTCTCAAATCCCATACTAAGGGTACCCTCGAAGGGAATCCTGAATTTCACCAATAAGATTTTCGCCAATAGGGCTCTCGCCAATGGTGAAAGTCCACTGTACTTTTGCCAGTATACCCTTTGAAATTTCACCAATTGACGAAAGTGCAGTAGACTTTTCCCAATGTGACTGTGAACTAAATGTGGATTCGAAAATTCATATCGGCTATATTGATTAATCTGAGCTATTGTATATATTCTAATAATATTAGCCACAGCTAGAGCCCATCGGGTCCTGCTGGGGCCCGAGCCTAGCCGAATCAGGGTCTGAAAGCTTTGTAATCACCGGATTCGGGTCCAAAAAAGTCCAAATTGGTTGGGTCCGGGTCCAGAAATTCTTGAACCGAACGGGCTCTAGCTTCAGTTCTTACGTGCACCCCATATTAATATTGTTCCGTGACAGTTGGCGAAAGTCTTATTGGCGTACTTCCAGTAACTCCATGTTGTTACCATTCTGCGCATCAAAAAATGGTAAGCCTACACTGAATTTAAATGAATAACTGACTCGATGTAATCATTAACGCACAGAGCTTAACTAATTTCTATCATCCTGACAGATTGTATGGGTTTACGGGCGCCAATCCAGAGAGTCTACTAAAGGTTATGCCCTTCACTCACTTAGTGTGATTGACGTTTTATACTTGTTTGGTCCTGATTTTATCGAACAACTTCTCAAGATTTGAATAAATGAAAGTTGTATAATATTATTCTTTGAAAAAAGTATCAGATTTCGAAGTAGGATTCAGTTTTGGCGTCTTCTATTTACTCACTGATTTAAATTCTTGTTAAGTATATATGCATCGAGACAACAAAAATGACTACGGCGATACCAAGCCACCAAAGAAGAAATCGATTTCAAACAAGAAATAAAAGAAAAATAAGGTTATCTTTGTCTCGTTCTCCTCCTTTCTCTTTGACGAGTTTCTCCAGAGAAAAAAAATTTGATTCTGCTGAAATATATGTCTAATACGACAGAACACGAAAAAGAATATGTTGGTGGGATTTTATCCAGGCACGTACAGAACTATTATCTTTACATACATTTATTTCGAAATTTGTACAAGGTTTATTACTATGGGTAAAATGAATATTTTTTTTCTGGGAGAAAATGTTTGATCGTACTCTCTGGGAAAGTGTTTCATCTTTCATTATGTTCATAAATTGTTAGGAAACTGACTGTTGAGAAGTGCGATATCAACAGGATGCGAAAAGCAATTATTCAAGGATAGTGAAATAGCTAAGAAGTGAATAGACTCTAACATCAGTGTTGTGAGAAGAAAATGAAGATGAATTTTGAAATTTAAGTTAATGAGAATTTATGTACCGTTTCTTATATAAATTGTGTCTAGCAGTATGAAAAGGTTCTGCTCTCTGGTTGTGCGCTACAGTTGCCGAAACAAATGTTTGCTTATGACTACGCAAAGTTACGAGTTTTACACATACTCGAATTCTTTTGATAAATTATTAATTATTTATGGTTTTCTAGTAAACTTCGCTAGGTAGTCGAAAAAAAAAGCTTTCAACACGCCCTGCAACTCGAGAGTATTGTAGTTAGATGTTATCGGCATCAAAGTCAGCAAATCATTTTTTTTTCTTTGACATATACAACATTGGCACACAAGCGAAAAGTTTGCTTTTTTTTATGATAATATTAAAACCCATAAAACGGAGGAGAAAAAAGAATCGAAACTAATTTGATGTTGGACGTCGATATTTTTTTTATTGGCAGAGTATTTGTACTAGTAAAATATGATTTTGTCGTTCTTTGCCACATTTTCTTTCTGTTTTTTTTATCTCAGAAGTTTATTATTCTAATGCTCTTTGCATGTTTTTCGAGCAATGTGAAGGCAACTACATGCTGACGCATGCATACAACTAGAAATGTTTCCTTCGAAAATATGAAAATAACTGCGGAGCAAGTATGTTTAAAACATCGAATCTGGTTCATATTACATTGTTGCCAGTCTTTTAAATACAATTTATCGCGTTAATGACTCACTCTAGCAGATGCGCTAGTTCCCTCAACTGAAGGGAGGTCCATACGAAATAAAATGCGTTTGTATGTATGTGTCAAGGTCAAAAGAACATGGACCTAAGAGAATCCCTTTCCAGGGTTTCTCTAGAACCGCTCGCCAGAAAAATCTGAAACTTTCACAGCTGATAGATCTCGATGTGTAGAGTAAAAGTTGTCATAGATTCAAAATTCGCAAATACTTCTATTTAGGAGATATTGGGGCCACAATAGCTAAAAATCGACTCCCAAATCGCTCCTGTTTCTCAGGCACAGTAAATCCGATTGGGTTGAAACTTTTTTACAGATAGCAAAGACACTAGGGGAGGAGTACTTTTTTTTTGGTTTCTTTCTATCTCGTACTGTCCGAATAAAAGAGCTAAAATACGAAGAGCACCCTAAAAAACGCGTGTTTTTTTTTTAAATAGTGCTTGTCTTGTAAGACCTGCCAAAACTCAGTGGTACAATATTTTTCAAAACAAAAAAAGTAGCCCCCTAAAGTGTCTCTACTATCTGTAAAAAAAAATTCAGCTCGATCGGATTTACTGTGCCTGAGAAACGGGGGCGATTTTGTAGATTTTTGCTGAGAAACCGGATTTCTAGAAAACCGCGAAAGAAAGAAAAAATCGTGCTATATCCCTACGGGAATCGATTTACCTTTTCGAGTTTACTTTTGTTTTAGCGCTATATTTGAGTTCTCAAAACGTCACCAGTAGATAGAGAGCACTTGAAAATACATGTAGAGCAGAAAAAACAAAAAATGAAAAATTTGGAAATTTTGGGTCCGGAAAGGAAGGTCCCCTTAAAGCTCAACCAATGGACATGTGTTTTCGATATTGAATTCTCGTCCAATCAGATTCTTTCAGCCTGGAATTCCAGCCAACCAGGGATTTTCGATATCGGGCACTCAACCAATCACATTTTTTCAGGCTGGGAGTTCAGCCAATCAGGAGTTTTCGACATTGGGCTTTCACCCCATTAGATTCTTTCAGGCTAGGAGTTCAGCCAACCAGAGGTTTTCTATACCGAGCTTTCCACCCATCAGATTTTTTCAAGCTGGAATTCCAGTCAATCAGAAGCTTTCGATATCGAGCTTTCGACCAGTCAGTTTCTTTCAGGCTGGAAGTTTAGCCAATCGGAGGTTTTCGATACCGGGCTTTCAACCAATCAGATTTGTTCATGCTGGAATTTCAGCCAATCAGGGGTTTTCAATATCAGGCTTTCGACCAATCAGATGCTTTGAGACTGGGAGTTCAGGCAATCAGAGGCTTTCGATACCGAACTTTTCACCCATCAGACTTTTCTCAGGCTGGAATTCCAGCCAGTCAGATATTTTCGCTGACCAGCTCTTGTTCAATAAGGTTTTCTGGGGCAATAAGTTCAGCCAATCAAATATTTTCACTCTGTAGCTCTTGTCCAATGAGATTTTTATCTAGCTGAGAGTTCAGTCAGTGAAATGTTTTCGCTATTACGCTTTTGTTCAATCAGGTTTTTTCGGTTGGAAAATTCAATCAATCAGATGTGGTTGTTGTGCGGCTGTCCTACAATCAAATATTTCAAGACTAAG